ATCAAAAGATCAGGATTCAAGTATGTGGCTGTCAATAGGTTACATAACTAGTTACATAATTAGTATTGGGACGAAGGAGGGGCGAGCAGCTCCTTTAAAAACTTTCATCACACTCTGTGCCCTTTGTTGGTAACAACTATGTGTTTGTTGTGGGTGAACTACTCGTGGTAATGTTGGAGGAAGAGATGAGCGAGATCCTCCCTTTTAGTGAGACCAGCGTAAAAATTAAAACACCTTCTTTGTAACTGTGTGTTTAAATCTCTTCCTTCTCCCTCCACCAGTTATCGGATTGTGGATTGCCTTAGAATCAGCTTCAGTGAGTGGAACAGATATCTGATCTCCTGAGTGTAAGAGATACCCGATCTTCTTTTTAATTTTGGATGACGAGATCTCAGGCTGTTGAGGTATTTCCACCCAATACCTACTACTACTGTCTGTTAGAAATGCTTCCACTGCAAGGAGCAGAGAACTCTGGTAACTGAACCCACTTGAGACAGCGCTTTGCTTTGCTCACTCAGCAAGACGTCTGGGTCTCAGCAGCTGTTGGCGTCCGCTTGGCTTTTCGGAAGCATTAGGCCCGCACGCCATGTGACTGGCTCTGACTTTCCCTCACGGCCACAGGGTGGTTGCCTAATTCCAAGCATCACAGCCATATTCGAGGCAGGACATAGTGTGGAAGGAGCCAAAAACCAGGGATGCTTGTCTCTTTTATCAGGACCATCAAGCAATTCCAGAAGCCCCCAGCCCCTCCCTGATTCTGTCTCATTGCTGAGGGCTGTTTCACACTGGGTACCTGGGAAAATGAGTATTTACTTCCCCACCTGCTTCTGGGGCTCACTCACTGGATAACCCAGCAAACCCTGATTGGCCACAGAGCTCCTCCTGCACGGCAGTGTTAAGGGCTTGGAACTGCAGTCAATGACCATGACAAGCACGGTCCTCAGTGTTAGAGGAATCACAGCGTCTTGAGGGAAGGGGTATTAAATAGTCAATTAAGAGATGAGGTGCAGAACTACCGTTCGCTATTAAGTGCTTGCTGGCACAAGAAAGGGGGACCAGAGCTGTGTGGACCGTGGAAGGCTTCCTGGACTGACTGTTACAGGATGAACCCAAGTGAATGGAGTAAAGAGAATGAAATGACCATTTTCAGAAGGAGAGTGTGGACAGAGAGAACCGTGTGGCCAGTGGGGGCCGGGCCCAAGTGCAGCAAGGAGGAGCTCCTGTTCCCACAGTTCAGAACGTCACTGTGGTCCCAGAGCACCTGCCCGGGCCACTGTGTGTGCCGGGTTTGAATTGTCATTTTGGGGCCCACGAATCACCTTTGCTGGCTCTTCTCTTCTTCTGTTGATAACTGTCAACACTTGATGTGTGGAGGGTTGGATCCTGCTGGATCCTCATGGCTTATAGCTTTGCTTGGACGCGGGGAGTTCTCCACTCTCCCCTGGGCATGTCTTGGGAAATTGTGAAAGGTAGGAGAGTCACATCGCTGTTGTTTCCCCCCGTTCATGTCCGACAGCTGGCTGGAGTCTGCCCATGAAGGCATCGAAGACAGACACCACATGATCTCGCTCGTATATGGAATTTAAGAAGCAAAACCGATGAACGTAGGGCAGGGAAAGGAAAAATAAAACAAGATGAAAACAGAGAAGGAGGCAAACCATAAGAGACTCTTAATCATAGGAAACAAACTGAGGATTGCTGGAGGGGAAGGGGGTTGGGGGACTGGGTGCCTGGGTGCTGGGCGTGAAGGAAGGGACATGATGTAATGAGCACTGGGTGTCATAAGCCATGGATGAATTGCCAAATTCTACCCCTGAAGCTAGTAATACACTCTATGTTAACTATATTGAATTTAAACAAAAAAACTTTAGAGAAGATACTGATGTGATTGTTCCTTCCCACGGACCAGTGTCTTAGCCATGGGTTCAGCAATGGATATTTTCTTACCCCGGAGACTTTCCCATCATTATGTCATTTCATACTTGAGGGGTCGCTCAGCAAACACGTGGACAAGGAATATCTTGCAGAAGTGTAGAGAGAGTGTGAGACGTGGAGTCGGTGTATCTGTGTGTAGGGAGGTCACGGACAGGTTTCATGCAGTTCTGGTTTATTTTATTTTGTGTGGCAACTGCTGGGAATACCGCCAAGCCTAAACTATTTTTTCCTAATGCCAGCTCATCAGGATAGTGAACTTTATTAGATTTCTGAGAAGTAGACTGTCTGGGATTAAATGGCATATTTCGGTCACTACATCTGTGTACTTTAACCAGTACATTTTCAGTAACTAACTTCCGGAGAATGTCTATTACTGTTCAAAGGTGAACTCTTCTACCTTCCCCTTGCTAAAGCAGGGTACGACCTTCTTCTTCCCTGGTCATTACCACCATCCAATTTCCTTCTGTGGGGACATTTCAGATGCGTTTCCTTCTCTGGCAAACGGGGATCGTAATGTCATCTCTACCATGGAGACTTGGGGAGGATTGAATGAGAAGGGAGATGTAGAATGTTTAGAACAGTGCTTCACATGTAAAAAGTACTCAATGAAATCTAGTGCTTTTATTTTCAAGTGGGATCAGGGTGCCATTATACACGGAAGGCACTGCGGAGGTCAGAGTCATGCTGACTTGGCTGGGGGCAAAGTCCATAGTCGTTGGCCATGATGACTGCTTTCCATCTATTGGGTAGTCAAGTAGAGGGTCCTCATGGACAGTTTAACACATCATTCTTTGTTTTCTTTTTTTAAAATTTTATTTAGGTATATGACAGAGAGAGACACATCAAGAGAGGGAACACAAGCAGGGGGAGTGGGAGAGGGAGAAGCAGGCTTCCCACTGAGCAGGGAGCCCTATGCGGGGCTCAATCCCAGGGCTCTGGGATCATGACCTGAGTCAAAGGCAGACGCCTAATGACAGAGCCACCCAGACGCCCCTACTCTTTTTATTTTTCTTCTCTTTAGCTTTCATCACTCAGTTTTTTATCTGCTGTACTCATGGCAAGGTGAGCCTTGGAAAATGAACAGTGATCAAAACAGACACCTTCTAGAAAGAACCTTCTGTTTGATCAAGAGTACATCTTCCTATTTTCGGGTGCCTTATGTACAGTAGCAGATGGGAAGTAAGACCCTGTTGAGAGCTGGAAGAATGAAAACCTCAGCAGAATCAGAATAGCATTTCCAATACCAGATATCTCAGACTTCTGCTTGTCATGCTTCTTCCCATCATCCCTTTCCTGAGGTTCATGGGAAGAGGCTTGGCTCGGCTAATGAGTCACCAGATAAAACACAAAGGCTCCAGACACTTTTTGCACTCCAGTTATAAGTATAAAGGAGAAAGATCGAACCACTCAGGGAGGGACGGTTTTTGCTCATGAGTTGGAAAAAGGGTGGTGGGGGTCAGTCTCTGCCTTGGCCCTTGTCACCATTACCAGGGAGCCAGAGGACTCTGAAATGGTCCCTTGATGGTCTTTGGTCGAGTCTAGAGAATGCAGTCATCCCCAGCAGCAGGATGCTGCCTGCCCCTGGTCCAGCTAAGAGGGACTCCTGTCTGGGCTCTGGGCCTGCTCAGCATCCTCTCTCCATCACGGGCAAGCTCAAGACTCCCTGGACATCCTAGTGCTCAAGGACCAGGGGCGGGCCCTAGACAACACAAGGGTTGATGGAATTCACAGGCCAAAGTCACCAGTGGGGCACTGGACCGTCAGGCTTGAGACCTCTCCTCACCTGTGGCCTGGACGATGGTGGAGCCCCATGCCCCATGCCCTTGACTTGCTTAGACAACACAGACATGAACTTGTTTGATTTTTGCACGGGTGCGTTATTGGTGATGAAGTCATGCTGACTTACTGTGGGTTGAGGGAGATGTCCTGTGGCAGAGTGCTAATAATGAAAAAATAATCATAAATTTAAAAATAACAATAAAAATCAGCAATGTGAAGATTGTTTCCAGAACAGGGGAAGAAGCGAGAGGGCAGCTGGGTGTCTTTTCCAAATGGTAGGGATATCTGACTTCTTGGAGTCTTTTTCAGGAAGTGAGCATTGAATGCCTTACACCAAGGAATAGTGGGGTTGTGTCTAGTTCTCCTGAGGGCGGCGTGCCCCATCCTTCCCTTCTACCTGTGTGCTCAGGGCCGCCCCTTCCTCCTCGGTCCCCTGGGCTTCCCCAGCCCCCAGCCGTGCATGCTCCCTCCACCTCATGGGGACTCCTCCCCGCCTCCAGGTGAACAGCAGGCTGAGCAGATCCCATCCACACCTGCCCAGACACACCTGCCTCACCTCGGGGCAGACAGCGATCTGGCTCCCAGCGCACTGATGAAACAGAAAACTAACGTCCTTGGCAAAACACTGGGGCTCCTGCTTCAGGGAACTTGTAAAAGCAAGAGTGGTTTAGTTTTCCAAGGCCAAGTCATTCACTGCTCCCCTCCCCATCTCCCCCAGAGGAGAAGGGACATGGCAATATTGCTTCTCACCAGCAACCAGCTCTCATCTAAAAGCACCTTTTTAGAAACAGAACGATTTTCTAGATAATTTATCCAATTAGCATCATGAAGGCAGTCGCTGGAGTAGAGAAAATGGCAGTGAACATCAACTGTGAAGACCAGTGGGAAGTCCCGGGGGAAACAGAAGATAGCAGCATTTAGACACCGTCACCCACACGGACCACCACACCGTCACCCTGAGGCAGGTGAGCGCCAGGTCCTCATGCAGGAGGAGACGCCCACAGGGCCCGCCAGCAGAGTACGAGCTGGTGCGCACTTGTGAAATGGTGCCTTCAACTCAACAGGTAACGGGTTCCCCGCTCATCAGTCCTGCTCAGTCCCTGGGCTTCCCGATGGCTCCATGACAGGGCTGGGCTGCTAGGGTAGGCTTTTGTCCTTCCTGCCTTTTATCCACAAATGACCTAATGCTCTTGAAGGTGGCAGAAGTGACTTGAACTCATGTTTGTTGTCAAGAAGATTTTGCTAATGTTTTTCAAATTTATGATTACTGTGATTATGTTTTTCAGTACAGATTTGAAGACCGGAATGGAGAAAACTGAAATGATTAATGAAACAGGGGTGAGATGTATATGTCACGTGCAAAGCAGGGGTGGGGCGCTAGCCTTGCAGTAATTGGCCCTTTGTGCTGAGACGTGTCTATGTCGCAGGTGGAATGCCAGGCATTGGACCTTTGCTAAGATCGAAAGTATCTCAGGCCTTCAGAATGGTAAGTCAGATGAGCTTTGCATTTCTAGTTTGTGTGCTTTCTTCTCTCTCTCAAACATCATTCTTGGAGTTTATGGGGGTCAATTCTGGGTTAAACTCAGAAGCAGAAAAAAGTCATTGGAGCTTTGCCTCATAGTATTCAACAGGCAAGATAAGTTGTTACCTTTGTCGTGAAAGCCATCCACGGAATCCTCTGGGCTTTCTGTCTACCCTGTTTATTCATTTTTAAAGATTTATTTACTTATTTTAGAGAGGGAGAGAGTGGTGGGGGTAGGTGGGGGAGAGAATCTTAAGTAGGCTCCAGGCTCAGCTCAGAGCCTGATGCAGGGCTCGATCTCACGACTCTGAGATCATGACCTGAGCTGAAACCAAGAGTTGGACGCTCAAGTCCCTGAACCACCCAGGCACACCTACCCCATTTATTGAGCACGCATCTTCTGGGGGCTGCAAACACCGTCCTGCCAATGAGCCACTGTGGGCAAGGCCCTCCCCTGCGCTAAAACATTCAGGACCCGCAGTGCATTATGTTTGGGGTCAGTTCCAATCTGTTCCCTGTTCTTCTCTAACAATAAGAACCTTGAAGTTCACAGTGTGGAAGGAAAGTGACACGTAATCAACAACTGTGCGAATGAATGAGCGAGTGAATCAAGAACCACGCGCTGGGCTTGCCCTTACTGGTGAAGGGAAAAGGGTGCTACCTTGCTGGGAGACTAGATGAGCCAGACTTCGTGCAGAACTGTCTTCTGCCTCCTTTTCAAGTGCTACTTCAAAGAGAAGAAAGTGACCAAGCAACCTGATGCCAGTTTCGAGATCTATATCCAGACCAGCTGTAGGAAGAGACAGTAAGGCTGCCACCTCGTGTGTATGCTGTCCAGTGTCTGCTGCTGAGCACGTTCAGAACTCAAGTGAAAAATACGTGGAAAAGAGCCCAGAATTCTGTAGCTTGCTTTCACTGATTCACGGTAGCTGAAAGGACAGGGACTGTTTTTATCTCTTAAAGGAGGAAGCCAGAGGTAGTTCCACGGCTGCTGAATTCTGCAGCAAAACGATGACACCTGGAGGCTTTCCTTGGTCTTTGCATTCCAGCACTCCAGGAAACTGACTCCCTCATGATCTCAGTGTGGCTGCAGAACCTCCAGACATCACCCCAACACACAGCTCTGTGTCATTCTCGTGCATCTCGTCTTAACCATGGAAGAAAATCTCTCCCACGGTATGAAAGTTACCCTATAAAACCCCATAATTCTCTTTTAGTTACCTTGTTTCATGATTTGCTGCTGTGGGCAATAATGTTGGGATCGACATCTCTGTATGTACCCCCCACCCCGCCCATGCACAGAATAAATCCTTGTAAAATAAAATAAAAAGAAAATGCATAGTTTGTTGGACTCTAGGACTGAGTGAGCTATAAATATTTTTTAAAAAGAAAGGATACTACAAATCGTGGTCATTTTGGTTTGTGAGCATGAGTTCTTTATTTTCTTTAGATGGGACAGAAGGTTTTAGGAGGAGACAAACAAAAACCTTTAACCCAAGTAACATCAGTATGAGACAAGTTGCACTTCAGTATCCTGTCTCCCTCCTTGTCCCGTGCCACCAGATAGCACGGACAGGAGGCTGTTTCTTGCATGATTTCTGTCTGTGCCATTGGGTAGCAATCCGCAAAGGAAATGAATAGCGTCATCTTGTATGGCCAGAAACCATCTACGGGGCCTGCCTCGACCTCCCCACTGGAACGGGCACTGAGTGAAAAACCCAGCGGTTGTCCCCAGAAAGGAGAGTGTGTGCTTCCAGATTCTGGAAGAAGAGCAGAGCCCTAAGATACATTTTTAAAAGATCCCACCCACTGGTTCTATTCTAAATCCAGCTCAAGATACAAGGAAGCAGAAAACCGCATGCTGCTATCTTCTTTGGAAACCCATCTTTCTGCAGTCTCTGTTCGCAGGGGTTTCTGAATCCAGAAACTCTTCTGGCGTTGGAGCAGAAGCAAGGGTTGTCTATTAGCTGGAGGCCCATTGCGTTCTGCACAGCGGGAGCACCGAGAGTGGAGATGCCAGACTGGGTGCGGAATTGCCGGGAAGAGTGTCCTGGGAGGAGGTCACCTGGAGAGGCCCCAATCACCCCTGGGAGGGTGTGACTTTCTGCAGGCAGCGCTGATGCAAAGTTTAACTTGAGGCTGAGAAGCAGCAAGATGTGCAAAGATTTGGAAGCATTTCCTGCCGTGGGAGGAGGAAGGGAGGGCAAGAGCCCCGAGCCTAGACATTCCCTGGGGCCCATTCTGTGGGGTGGCGGCCTGCACTTAGAATGCCAAGGCCGCCCAGCTCCGATGTCTTGTGAAGGCCAAGTGAGTCCATCCAGAGAAGTCCTCTGGCACCTGGGAGGCCCTCAGTAAATCCCAGTCCTCTTCCCTTGTGCGTGAGGGCGCTCTCCTCTCTCTTCCTCTGCCCTACCTTCCACCCACCGGACACGGAGGCCTAGTGCATGGGGCTTGGCTCCTCCCGAACCTCTAGGTCCCCAGATGTCCCCGATCAGCTCACTGGGAGAAGGGTCATGCTCTTTCTGCCCCCCTGGGGGGTGTTGTCTGGAGGGCTCTGTCGCCCCTGGAGTGCGGGGGGGGGGTGCCCCCAGTCCTGGAACTTTGGGGACTCTGCTACTCTGGCTGACAAGGCACACAGAGTCCTAGGCTACACACACACATTTACTTGTAGGCACTTGTGCAAAAGGGGGAGACCAAAATAATAGTTTAAATATAATTCCACCAGCTGTTCACTCTGAGGCATCTGCTGTGGGGAGCCGGAGCACAGGCGAGGTGACGGGGCTCTCCTGGATGAGTCGCAGTTTGCTCAGATGCTCAGGGCCCGCATCTCCCACGTGTGCAACGCTGGGGTCTCAGGGTCTGGAGGGAGTGTGGTCCTTCCCTCCCAAGAGCTATGGGTTAGGTGCTTTGTGTCTGGCTTAAGGCATATTCAGAGTTGATTTTTTTTTTTTTTAAACAGTGACTCATTTTTTTCTTCTTCTTTTTTTTTTTACCTTTTACTTTTTTTTACCTTTTCTTTAAACCTTATGTTAATTTTTTACTTTTTTTTTTTACCTTATACTTTTTTTTTTAACCTTATGAACACTCAACTCTGCTGTAATATTCAACTGCATTCGCCTTTAGTAAGGCTTTCTAAGAACTTAACCTATTTTGAAGACTCCAGGAGACAATGCTGTTTGACAGGAGCTGATGTGTGTGGGAGCTTTAGGTCTCTAGTGGTGGGGACATAGTCGATAGGAAATGGGAGACTTTGTGATGATGGAGACAAGCCACAGATCCAGTCCTGGACAGGTGCCACCCTTAGTGAGCCAGGAAGGCCAGGCAAACCGTCCACTGCTAAGACACAAAGCAACATCAGAGGCAAACTGGAAAAAAAAAAAAAAAAAAGGTGGTTACTTCCGGCCCCACCACGGGGTCATCCTTGTGTCCTGCATTATCTTCAAAGCAAAAGGCTTTCTCCTAAGCTGAAATTTGGTTTTGATTTTATTCTGTAAATTTTGAGTTACTTCTAGCATACTAAAATGTGTACATTGTCATGCCAATATCTGTTTATCACGTCTAGCTTCGTCACAAATGTACATTTTGCCATTATGGCTTTGGAACATGTTTTAGGAGGAGGGAAACATCACACAGATGTGGTTGACTTGTTGGCTCCTTTCCTATAAGGAGCTGAGCCTCTGGTGGCTGTGTGAAGGGCCATTCCAGACTGTGCTGCACTTGGAGAGATATCTTGCGTGGAACTGTCACCTCGTGGTCATCTCTTTTACTTGTCAGTCCCCGGTCCCTGGGACTGACTACGTAGATGGATACTGAAAACAAGCCTTGTTATGGTCCCTTTCTTAGGACCAGTTCAGGCCAGTCTTTGGAAGGGGGGGGCGCGCCTTCTTCGTTCTTTGTACCGTCCTCTGCCTTGGTTGGTGTTGTGTCTGTGTGAGGCTAGCCCCTAACAGGACTCCATTACCACTGGCCTTTGGACATGGAGGGGGTCTGCACAGTTGAAAATGTGAGTACCACTTTCGACTTCCCAGAATCTTAACTACTAACAGCCCACAGTTGACCGGAGTTCTTACCACTCACATAAGCAGTGGATTAGCCCAGATTTTGCCCATTGTACATATCACGTAGTGTATTCTTGTAGTAAAGTAAGGTAGAGAAAAAGAAGACATTAATAAGGGGAGAAAATACTTTGACAGGACTGGAATGTATTTATCGAAAAAAGCCCACCTGCTAGTGGATGAGCGCAGCTCAGTCTGCGCTGTTCGGGTGGGGGGGGGGGTCCGGATGTCATCCGGGTCTTCAGCCCAGCGCGCTCCTCTTTAACTTCTCCGCGGGCTTCTAGTGGACGTTGGGTGCCGCCCAGATGCTGCTGTTGTCATTGTTGTTCCAAGTGGATGTTGTGCTTTTTGTAAATGCCGCAGGCCGTGCACTTCCCGGAGCAGGGGACCTCCCTGCTGTCCCACACGGAGACTGGCACACGCAAGATACGCGGTGGCCGTCGTTGGATCCCCAGCCCGCTGTGTTCCAGAAGCCGATGCAGTCTAAGTGGATACCCATTGTCCTTCCTGTTTTATGGCCTGCAGTTCACTGGGTAATTTTGCTGTTGCTCTAATACCTCCTTGTAGAAAGCAGTCAATTGCCTTGAGCACGGCTCAGAATAGATTGCTCATTAAATTGAGTTCCAGACAAGACTGCAAGGGTATTAGCCTGATGCTCCAAAGGAGCAGGAAGCCTCAAGGGCTTAGTGTGATTATTCATTTGCTAAATAACACAGACACACAATGGCTTAATTACAGTATTTTGCTGTGAAAAAGAA